GGGGGTGTTAAATAATGTCTTTTGGGGAGATACTTTGGTGGATCCCTCCTTTACCCAGTTCTCTCTATTCCTGTCTGTATTCATCTGTCTATTTAACAACATTTTATAAGCAAGAATGCTCTTTGATTAAACAGACTATAAAGCAATGCTGTCCTTACTCATGTCCTTTCAAACATTTCTTATTCTTTCTCTATAACATCAGATATCCTAAATATCAAGCATCTCCTACCTTGAGTCGCAAGACGGAAGAAGACAGCATGACCTTCTACAAAGATCAAGACCGCAGCATTCATCACATAGAGCCGCCGCCGACCTACTACAGCGGTCGCAGAACGGAAGACGACAGCTACGACGGACACCGGCGCACGGAGGCGGAGAGCGACAACTATCGTGGCGCCAGGCAACCACGAGAAGACAGATCTGCATACAGCAATCGGCGCGATGATGAAGAGGAGAGGCCAAACTACAACTACCGGCGCCAGGAGGAGGAGAGGCCGACATACAACCACCGCAGGGAGGAAGAAGAGAGGCCGTACTCGGACCGGAGAGCTCACAACCTGCGCAGAAACGGGGGAGACAATCCTCCGCGGTACAATCTGCGACGACAAGAGCACAACGACTCGACTGCTGTTTGATGACGCTCCCTGCATAATTAGGATCTAATTTTGCGAGTCGAAGACAGCGTTGAATGTTTTTGTCGTTATTGATCCTGCAGTGTGCAAACTTTTGGCACCATTACTCTGTGTCATGATGATAATGATAATAATATTAATAAAAAGTGACATTGATATAGCACATTTCCACTTGGTATATGCTCAGTGCACTTTACGACAGTACAGAGGTCATAGTTTCAAAAGCGATCCTCTCAACAAAGTGACACTAATATTACATTGTTTACTATGTCATGTAGTGCTATTGACAAGATTATCGCAGCTGTTGAATTAGTCCACGCTGAACAAATTAAAATAGAATAAAATAGCATTTTCATAGATCCATCCGAGAAAAAATGGGTTTCAACTGATAGTACAATATAGGCTTCCAGTACAATAAATGGAAGTCTCACCCTTATGGACAATCTTACATGCCATTGCTGTTGACCGCTGTACAGCACCCTCCTTTTTTTCTTTTTTTTTTTTACTTTGGGTTGTCGTATCTTGCTCAAGGATATGCACCGGTATCAACTGTTTTGAATGCAAAGTCACCAACATAAGTTGACTGTTCTAAATATGTCTCTTGTACATGACTATCTGTTAAGAATGCTATTGATGGACAAAATAAAACAATAGATCAAAATAGACAAGCACTGAAATGAAAAATTCTGATTCCGACATTTCTCTGTGCCCTCTTCAAGCACTCTTCCCTTGGGTTCTACTACCTTAATCTTTTTTTTTTCCCAACTCTTAATGAAGGAGGGAAGAGATAAAAGTGTGAGATAAATGGTCATGATTATTCGTCTGCATAATGATGGTAGACTTTTTAAGTCTGATGGCTTTAGATCTGAAGGAGTCACATTCTCCTGCTTAATAATTGCAGATTGTGTGAAAATTATTTTTCAACCTTCCTTAGCCATGTCAGAGAGTTACAGTGTGCTCGTGTGATTAACTGTAATACAGAAGTAAGAAAAGCCGATAGATGAATGGAAAGGTTCATCATTTACTGGTTCTTTTGACTTGAGCATAAATGTAAGCTTGCAGTTGTTTTTTGCTGGGGGGGTTTTCAACATGCATTCCATTCCTGTTATAGTTACATATCTTCGTCTGTGTTGTTTGCGTTTATTGCAAGCTGCAGCTTTTTAATGTCAATAGACGCGTTAAAAAGTTGTGTTATAAAAGGTATCCTTGTTCATGGAAGTAGAATTTGTTCATTGTTTGTGAGAAGAGAATGAAGACATTCCATAGTTCCCTGTGGGCTTTTTTTGTTTTATAGTTCAGGAATGCTGTCTACTGCTGGCTGTGGACAACCCAACAAAAATTTTCATGACTTTTATTATCAGCAGCATATTGCATCATATTGTTATGAGCGTCATCATCATCATCATCATCAAGTTTTTTGCTAAACGGCATTTGGACTGGTATCTTTCCATTCCTTTTTGTCATTTATTTATGAAAGCCAGTGCACTCATATTATTATGCTCTTATCCATTCATTGTCAGATTGTCAGAATACCCACTTTTTACCTCTACTGGTCTTCCTCTGTTTCTTTTTCTGTAAGTTTTTCAAGATGTCACGACAAGCTAAACTTTTTTAAGTCTTTATTACAGTTTGTTTTGGTGTTTTATGGCGATCCCTTTATTACAGTAAACTGATTTATATTGAAAATTATTTTAAAAATGTTTCTCATCTCGAAGTGGGGACACTGTTTGATCTTATAAAATCTTGGCAGCTTGAGCTAAAAAAAAATTTCCGCCTTAAGCATGGTGATTGCATTTCACTCATACATTATTATTTTGAATTTTATTCCTGCTGAATGAATTTTAGCCTGATGTATGCTTATTGCCATCCTTGACTTTCTGTTCAATGGTTGCTGTTCCTAGGATCGAAATCATTTAAAAAAAATGTTTTTCTACAGTCTTGAAAACTTCATTTTTGTTTCTTCAAATCTGCCTCTTTTGTGTTTTTCAAAATCTTCAACAAACGTGCAGGACAGAGGGTACGACCTTGTTGACTACATTCCATTTTTCTCCAGCAATATAATGCTGTCTATGTACATATTATTGTATAGTGAATGTTTTGTACAGATTGACTTAGATCATCTCATGGTAATAATAGTGCCATTGTAGAGAACTCACAACTTGAGGACTGCGAGCCTCAATCTAAATTCAGTGGAGTCTGCTTGAACTGAACATGGTTAATCCAGAAATGGTGATAAATGGAAAGAAAATAGAATCCAAGTTGCGCACATTAAAGATCCCTTGGTTGTCTAAATTCGATAAGAGTAGACTTCAGCCGCCACCTGCGCAAAATTCAAAAATTTCCTTCCAACTGAAAATGTTTAATGTGTCCCGCGCGCTCATATGAGCTTATGCAGTTGCGAGCCCCATAAAACACTTACAAAAAAAACTTTGTGCTCCTTCGTCCCTTTCTGTGTGACATTAAGCAAGCTGAGAATATTATTGAAGAGAAAGCACAATGCACACAACCTGCTGCTCAAATTGCAGACACTGGAAAAGGTAGATGACAAGAGGAAAATGTTTCGAAAAGTTAACTTCGCCAAAAGCATGGTATTCCCAACTGTGCCATATCAGTTAACATTGCTATTTGAGCAACCCTCTCTAAACCAACAACATGATCTCTAAACCAAAGGAAATCAGGCGATCCTGCAAGTTTTTGGTTTAAGTGGACTCCACTGTAGTGTAGTATTTTTGTAAATACTTTACACCCCTCTTTGTACAGCTTATATCATTTAGGAGGTGGGCTATTTTTACACACCTGCCTGTCAGGGCCAACCTAGCTTGCACTGGATATGTCTCGGCAGAAAGGAGGAGGTACCGGCATTTTTGTTGTAATTGTTGATTTTGCTCATAATACTATCGTTTGTGAGAGTGAAAGTTTGCAATCATAATACTGCAGGTTGTGTTTGAAAGTTTGCAATCATAATACTACCTGTTCTGAGTGAAAGTCTGCAATCATAACACCACCTGTTGAGCCTGTTGTGAGTGAAAGTTTACAATCATAATACCCCAGGTTGTGAGTGAAAGTTTGCAATCATAATACCCCAGGTTGTGAGTGAAAGTTTGCAATCATAATACCACAGGTTGTGTTTGAAAGTTTGCAATCATAATACTACCTGTTCTGAGTGAAAGTTTACTATTATAATGCCACCTGTTCTGAGTGAAAGTTTGCAATCATAATACCACAGGTTGTGTGTGAAATTTTGCAGTTATTATTCTGCAGGCAGTGAGTGAGATTTTTGCAATCATAATTCCATAGGTTGAGAGCAGCAGTTTGCAGTGATAATAAAATGATACCACAAGTTGTGGATGAGAATTTTAAATCATAATACCACTTACAGGTTGTGATTGAAAGTTTGCTGTCATAAATTGTTGACATATCGTTCGTTACATATCGTTTATGACTGTTGCATTGGATGTGGTAGCCACAGAATGTGCCCCAAAATAGTGTCTTGTTAAAGGAATATTGAGTCAATCACGTGTTTGATAAATGTTCCTGGGGAAACCATGTCCGTGGTGGTTGAGAAAGCCACTGGTAGGTCCTACCTCTTTTCATTTCCTCTGTTGTTCCTCTCTTGTCATGCCTTTTTCCTGCTCTAAGTCAGGGGTGTTGTGCCAACATGTTTCCTTTTACTCAAACAAACAAACAAGCAAACAAGCAGTGGGTGGTTGGCAGATGCTCTGGTGTGGTTTGCTCCTTCTTTCCCGTCAATCATCTTTCAACCTTATCTCTCCTCCTTCTTCTTTGCATTCGTTACTCTCTTGTAACACCTTTAACACCTCTTGTAACACCTCTAATCTTCAGCACTTATATTATGACCTAATTGTGTTGGAAGTGCCATAAAACGTTTACTAAAACTACAGCCCATCAGCTTCTAGTTGTGGGTAGTTGGCGGGTGCTCTGGTGTGATTTGCTCCTTCTTTCCTATTAAACATCTATCGTCCTTATCTCTCGTTCTTTTTTGTATACACTATTCTCTTGTAACATATCTATTCTACGGCCTTTATATATGACCTTATTGTGTTGCAAGTGCCTTAAAACTCGTACGAAAACTAATTTTCTAGTTCCAGTAAGAATCTGGTTGGGATTTTCGGGGCAGGACCACTCAGGTTGTTGAATCTTCTTGTGTACCTCTGCCTCTCCCTCTGCCTCTCCCTCTGCCTCTCCCTCTGCCTCTCCCTCTGCCTCTCCCTCTCCCTCTCCCTCTGCCTCTCCCTCTGCCTCTCCCTCTCCCTCTCCCTCACTCTCACAAATGTGTCATTGTGGCAGTGTGCTTCTCCTTAATCAAATAGAAACAAAGTGGGTGGATGGCGGATGCTCTGGTGTGGTTTGTTTGCACCTTCTCTCCTATCAAACATGACATCTTTTGTCCTTATCTTTCCTTTTTTTTTTTCTTTTTCTAATAGTCTTTAAAAAAATTGTTTTGTTTGTATGTCATTCTCTAGTAACGCTTCTTATCTTTAACATTTGTATGATCATGACTTAATTGTGTTGCAAGTACTGTAAAACTCTTACTAAAACTAAAACAGACACACAAGACGGCATCTGTCAGCTTTATAGCCTTTTATGAGCCTTGAGTTAAGTTCGCTCTAATGCTCAGGCCTGAGGCAGCTGTTTGCTCAAGAATCCTTCATGTACATAATGATAGAAATAATACAGTGCTAAATGATATGTGAGGCATTGTGGTGGAATCAGACGCTTGTGGAAAAAAAAAGCATTTTTCCAACAGTCTGGCACTTTTATCTAAATTTTATTTTTTGGCTAAATACCTTTTTCGTTCATATGAAAACATATTTTCATGTGAATTTTACTGAAAATTTTACTGTTTAAAGGCCACAATATGTAATGTAATTTTCGGTTTTCAAGGGCTCTTAAGGTATTGAAGTTCCCAAACTTTAGTGGCCATTTTCTCATTGATTTAACCACTGAAACCAGGCGACTCCCACCTTCTTCAATCGTAAATATCTCGACTTCTATTCAAGCAAGATGGGTTTTTTTTACATTGAAAGCAAGGCAAATGAATAAGCTTTCAGGTGATATCAATAACTCCACGTGCGCCCAAAAATTCACGAGCGCCTGATTCCACAACGTCGTGCTCATACTATGGTTGTGATGTGATTTGTTGTGAATTGTGTTGAATTTTTATACGTAATTTTTATATAAATGCTTTTCGTTGCCTTATTGCTGTTATGGATACATTCCTTGTATGGAAGAGGTACTAAGCATTTTATCTAACATGGTTTGTACCTTCCAGTTTACAAAATGTTGTAACATTCCTTGTAAAGATAAAACAGTAAATATATTTTTTATTTACACACTAGAAAAAATTGACTGAAGTTGTGTTGCTTACTATTATAATGTTATGTTTGTTTGTTTGTTTGTAATATCATGATTGTGGGTGGTTGGCGGATGCTCTGATGTGATTTGCTTCTTCTTCGTTCCTATCAAACGTCTATCGTCTTTATCTCCCCTCCTTCTTGTTTGTGTTCCCCTCCCTTTTTGTGATTTTACTTTCTTGTAACACCTCTAATCTTCGGTGCTTATGTGACCTTATCGTGTTGCAAGTGCCGTAAAACACATACTACAACTGAAATATTATGATTTTGATTACAGATCTCATCAGGCACAGTGTTGGTACTGCCAACATCCATCACATTTTCCACCCCTCTGGAGTGGGTAGGTCCTACTTCTTTTCTTTCCCTGTTATTTCTTTCTGTCTGTCTGTGTGGGTGGTTGGCGAGTGCTCTGGTGTGGTTTGCTTCTTCTTTCCTATAAAAAGTCTATCGTCTTAATCTCCTCTCCTTTTTTTGTGTTTGTTACTCTCTTGTAATACCTCTAATCTTCAGCACGTATATGACCTTATTATGTTGTGTTGCAAGTGCCGTAAAACACTTACTTAAGCTAACTGCCTGCCTGTCTGTCTGTCTGTCTGTCTGTCTGTCTGTCTGTCTGTCTGTCTGTCTGTCCTTCTTCTTCCCAGCTCGAAACGACCGTTATTGTGTCAACGAGCTTCTGTTTACTCAAACAAGATATCAACAGAATGGGGGTGGGGAAATACTGCCTAACCGTAACACCACCGACGCCTGCTCATATTGATAGAAGGACAATAAAATATCAACAATAATCCTTCACAGCTTACAGGGCGCTTATCCCTATCCGACGCCCTGGGATCATTTTATACCCCCGGGGTTGTATTCTTCACATTTTAGAATACTTCTAGTACGAAGGTCTCTTTGAAACTTTCAGTATTTCTCAAAAAAATCATTTTGACAGACTGCTGTACAAAGCGTACGGATTGGATAAACGAGTAAATTTCCTCTTTGGAAAGTGGTGGCACAGAGTTACCCACGTCATATGGATACGATAGTAAAACACGACGTACGTATAGAGTTAAGTGGTGGCACAGAGATCCCCACGTCGTATGGATACGATAGTAAAACACAACGTACGGACACGGATAGGGTTAACCGGCAGTTTGCACTGTAGGCTTCCCCGGACCACTACCTCATCTGCTACTGCTGCGAAATCCACGGACACCTTCATAATATTATAATATGTATTTTAGTGTCTGCTAGAGTAATAACAATGATAACCATAAAGTGCATAGAGCTTGCTGTGGAGCATGAATATGTGCTATGTATCAATGCAATTATAATAATTATTTTTATTATCATTATTATTATTATTATTATTATTATATTATTTTTATTACTAATAATATTACTGTTATTTATATTATCATTATTATTATTATTATTATTATTATACTATTATTGATATAATATAAATATACTCTGTCACATTTTAAGTATACACATTTTGAAGATCTCAATAAAACAAAATCAATGCCACCAATTACTTTCAAATTTACACACTGATTACGTGATATACCTGTCGCTGGTGAGCTGTTTTCAGATTTCTGAACGCGTGAGTGGTTTTGTATCTGCATGCGTGTTACATGTTTCGTGTTTTTTTTAGAATTGCTCATGATACGGCAATGATTTGTTAAAAAAGCAAGCACACATCAAAGCTTTGTCATTTTTGTAACAATTCGCCAGTGATAAAACTTGTCTTGTCTACGTTTCATGATGTCCCGCCGTACGAGAAAATGTGCGAAATCAGCTCGTTGGAATGATCCGCGGGGGTGCCTCAGTCTCCACTGCTGCGAGACATTTTAATGTAACACGAAGAACTGTGTACACAACAATGGATCGCGAGAAAACAACAAAATCAGGAAAGGATCGACACCGCCAACGTGGGAGAAGAAAAACTACTCCAAGAGAGGATCTTTTTATACGCCTGTCGCATCTACGGAATCGTTTCAAAACGGCAAGACTAACAAGAAGTGAGTTGAAAAACATGCGACAACCCCAGCCCCAGACACTTCCTCAACTTGAGAGAGCATCGCATGAAGAGTGGAATAACATCCCACAACAGGCAGTGCAGTGATTGATTGATTCAAGGCGGCGACGATGTCAGGCCGTCATCAACGCTACTGGTCGTGTTACTTTTGTAGACCACCCCCACACTCTTGCATGTCGTGAATAAACCTGTTATGTTAACATTCCATATTGTTGTTGCTTTTTTCGTATTTAAAATTGATTGAATTAGTATTCCTGAAATTTTAAAGAATATCGACTCATTGTGAAACTAGCTATTTTCATTTTAACACAGTGTATACTTAAAAATGTGACAGAGTATATATATGATCATTGAGGAAGTAAAACCAAAGAAAGAACCAACAAGAAAACCGAAGCTTGGTGGAGGAAAGAGAAAACTCTATAAAGGCAATTTATTGTACTCAGGTGACGTCACTGATGAAAAAACATGTTATTGTATTATTCTAGCCCCTGCAAACAACACAAAGATTGTTTTAAATTAAATATATTATTATTATGCTTACACAGTTCTCATCAGTCACAGTGCGGGTATGGCCAATATTTATCACATTTTTCACCATAAAGGGGGGAAAATACTGCATCCAAAGCCATATTTTATATAAGACTAATATATATATATATATATATTATATATATATATATATATATATATGTCAATATATATATATATAGGCTATATATATATATATATATATATATATATTTTTTTTTTTTTTTATATATATATATATATATATATATATATATCTCAAATATATATATATATATTGTGTGTGGCTTAATGCTTCATTCAGAGTTCCTAATTCAATACGTTGTCTTTAAATAGGATTTATGATATCATATAAAAGGCAAATGTACACCCACAGTCTACCAAACATGTACGTATTAATATTGTACACACATATGGGCCACACAGGAGAAATGAAACGTTTACAAAATGGAGTGAAATCAAAATCCAAAGGTCAATGAATAACAAGGTTAGTACCGGTCAAGTATAAGCTAGGAACAGGGGGGCAATTCAGCAAATATCTGATGGCAATACATAAAGTATAAAGTTATCCTCTTTCTTCTCTGGGAAATGTAGTACGTCATGTTGTTATAGAATAGCAAAGCAATAACTTATGTTTTTAAAAGGAAAAGTGGGGAAAAAGTAATAACAAAGCGAATTGAAATACATTGTACATGTATTATATTAATCTACAATGAAATATAAATTTTAAGAATTATTAACAGCAATATAATCTGAAAGTCGAGAGGGATTTATGTACACACTTTGAACATAGTTAAGTTTTTGCTTGAAAGCTGAACAGTAGACATATTATTTTACAGCCATCGGTCTAAAAAGATATTACATAACTCAATATATTTGAAATATGTAAGAAATGTTTTCTACTTTACAATGCTATGCACACAACAAATTGCACACGCGCACGCGAGCACTCACGCACGCACGCATACACACTCACACGCGCGTGCGCACGCACACACACTCTCTCACACACACGCGCACACACACACACACACACACACACACACACATACATACATACATACATACACTGGAAGCTCTCTATTTAAGCCAACTGAATCGATACCCATACGATTATCTCTACCCCGAAGCACCTCTGAAAAACAAAATGGCTAATTATAGATGCCACGTGACATAAGAATATTACGATTGTCTGCGCGTTCAAGAGAAGCGCCGTCAAAATGCGAAGCAAAGAGTTATGGTACATAACATGAAGGAAGACTTTTGTTTGCTCAGAGGAGGGAGATAGTAGCGTCAGCAGATTCCCATCTTTGTAAATGCCCAAACGATGCGGTTTCGAAATTGGAAATCCGACCCGGATCCTTAGTGAGAACTCGTTTGATCTCACCGATTCTTGAGCTCAGGCTCGTTTTTACCGATGTAAATGAAAACCTGATGATTATTTCAGGAGATGAACATCCTATCAGGTTCCTATGCCTCGACTGCCCTTCCTCCCCGTAAATGAGAGGTTAGATTCCAATCCGGTTCCTGTGCTCAGACTCCCTTCGGTGACTGAAAAAATTTAATCCGGTTCCTGTCCTCGGGTTCCATTTTGTGTCAACATCAAATCCGAGTCCATAGCTGGGACCTGTTGCAATAAATGACCGTTCTATTCGGTTCGCCAACAAAATTCGTCGTTAAAAAAGTGAATAGTTGATCAATTGCATGTCCTACACTTCGGATTTACTTCTTGTTCCTTGACTTGCTTCAAATTCAGCTTTCCTTCCACTAGCTCCACTTTTGTCTCCGGTGGTCCGAGTGACCCGGGTTTGTTTTTTTTCCTTTCCTTTTTTTAGCAGTGACCTACTTCTGTCTGGTAGAAGGAAAAAAAATAAAACAGAAACTAGAGCCATAATTTCACAGTTAAGCATTTCTTTGAAATCACCGTACTGTATCAAAAAGCAAATATTGTATCAGACACTAGACCAAAAAGAAAAAACCCCCACAAAACGAACTATGACAATTTTCTTGAGCTTGACCTTTAAGGCTATTTGGCAATAATTTTCTATTTATCTTTCATTTTTGTTGAAATCAGAAGAAAGTGTTCTTGAAACAAGCAAAATTGTTTTCAGGGCGCCTTACGCAATGAGTTTATGAATGAAAGCTCTTTGCCTTTGACAACACTCACGAACTGTGATGTCAAGGGAATAATATAACAATATAACCTATGTAGTGACTTCGATAGATGAAATAAGATTATAAATTCACTCCTCTCTCTCTCTCTCTCTCTCTCTCTCTCTCTCTCTCTCTCTCTCTCTCTCTCTCTCTCTCTCTCTCTCTCTTTTCACATATCACAGGGAAAAAAATCAAAACGGGCTCACTCAATATGAATCACTTAATAGAATACAGTGTATCATGAAGCCGTTGTCTACACTAGCCTAAAGGACTAACATCTCCTAGCTAAAACACTAGAATTGTCAACACATCAGTCTAGCAGTCCAAGCACTCTAAGAACGCAGAAGGTGTAGTAGGAAGCCAGGATGTAGCAGACGAACTTCTCCACTCCCATCTGCAGATGCAGACAGAAGGCAGTGGCGAACAGAATAAGGATCAGACCTTCTGTCGTATACCGGCCGAACGGTGAACATTTCACGAGATTTCGGCTCGCTCCGCTACTTTTACGACGCCGAGTTCTCCCGGAAACAGCCGAATCCCCGCTGCTAGGTTCCGACGACAGTTTAGTTTTTGATTTAGTACTGTGAACTTTCACCTTCTTCACTTTTCCTCCTTTTTGAGGTGCCGTGTCAGAGTTTTTGCTCTTCGTTTTGTCATCCGGGCCAGCATTTTTCGATTTCAGTAAGGATGAGAATCTGGGCAGAACTGCTGTTCCACTTCCAGATTTACTTCCCGCCTTCCCGTTTCCGTTTCCCGTCGTGACGTGCTCGAGTGCCGTAGACACCGGAGGGCGGGAAAGTGCCTGGGGAATTGCCGGAACAGACGTGACAGACTGGGCTATGGCAGACGTCAGCTGTATTGGCGCCGAGATCACGGGGACTTTTGTGAGTGTGGCAGGAATTGCAGATGGGTCAGGCGATCCGCACACTGAGCGGGGTTTGACCATGTTTGGATTAGATTCCCGTTTAGAGTTAGCGTCCTCCGTAATTGCTGAAGATTTGGCGAGTACAGATTTTGGGTCCGTACTTGAAGAAGGGCCAGTTGGAGAACTTTGGGGAACTGAAGTCTTGGGTGTGCTTGCACTTTGAGAAACGGAGGAAATCCCAGAGGTTTTGCTATTTTTAGCATTGGTTGCGTCAAGTGACGCTGAAGCGACCTGAGTAGAAGGGGATTTCCCTGCCATCTGACTACTGCTGCTTTTCGTTTGAGCTAGCATTCCTGATGATGGTTTTGTATTTTGCCGTACGTCTGTTGCCGAGGATGTTGTTGTTGTTTGGTGAGCAGGAGAAGCTTCAGTACTTGCAGGGTTATTTCCCCCGGCTGGTGTGGGTATTTTTGTCCCAGTCCCACCCTGAGGCTTAGATGTGGGGATAGCGATCTTTGAAGCTGTTGGAGTGGCTCTGTTGGCATCCGCGGGAGAATTTCTGGCGGTGGTAGTGCCAGCTGGTTGTGACGTGGTGGGCGCCACAGAGGTTCTGGCGGTTGTTGTAACGAGTGTTTTCGTGTTTTCTTTAGTAGCATTAACTCTGTGAGCGGCCATTTCAGCAGTTGACGCGGCGCCCCCGTTCTGGGCTGTTCTGGCTGCTTTCGTGACGCCTTTCATATTTGTTGTTGTCGTTGTCGTTGTTGTTGATGATGATGATGGTGATGACGATGGTGATGACAGGGTTGTTGCCGAAGACTTGTTGTTTGCCGCAGGTTTGGCAAGGGTGCTCGGTTTTGTTACGACGACGTGCTGACTCGTACTTTCCGGCTGCGTGCCAGATTTTGCGTGTGGTGCGGGGATTCCCGAAGTGCGGGCATCTTGTGACTTCGCGGAGATGGGCGTTGTTGCGACGGCAACCGGTATTACCGTCGTCTTGGTTACTGTTGCCGACTGTGTGGGTGATATTCCCTGGGCACTATTCGGTGGCGCTGAAGGTTTCTGAACAACTTTTGTTTCAGAGCTTGACAGTGCTGACTTTGTTGTCGTTGTTCTTTTCGTTGTAATTCGTTTACTCATCTCAACTGTTTTTGTTGTTCCTGTTGTGGAACTGGTGTTGTTATTGTTGTTGTTATTTTTAGTCTGCTCAGATGAGGAAACAACGGAGGCAGATACAGTAGTGGGTTTTGTAGCTCCGACCGGCATTGAGGGTGATTTTGAAGTACCATTCACAGAGCTACTTGAAGTTTGGCTGGCAGATGCAGATGCCTGCATAAGGAGATCTGACTTCACCCCTATGGTCACATGAAAAGTTGGCGACGCGGAGGCGTTCCTATTGCTCTGTCCAGGCTTTGGCCCAGCTGTGTCTTTGACTGTAGATTGATAGGTGACCTGTGGAGAGGAAGACCGAGTTGGAGAGGGTGGGCCGCCGTGGTTTGTTCCGGCAGAAGCCACTTGTAAGGCTGAGAGAGCAACTCGTTTGGTGCCACCTTGTTTTGTGTTTTGATTACTTTTTGAGGTATTTGTCTTGTTATCCAAGCCTACAGCTTTATCGGTTATTGCTGACTGAATCGTTTTGTGAGAAGCGGGAGGAGAAGAATGAGACACTTGTGGTGTTTCGTTGATGGCTGGTTTTGCTTCTGCACTTTCTGCAAGCAGAGAGGAAGAAGTTTCTGCGCTAGCAGTGATGTGGGCTTGTTCTGATGACGCACTAACTGGACGATTTTTCATTTGCGGGGCTGCGGATTCTGAACTCAGTGTAATTTTACTGGACATTTCAATTCGTTTCGAGTCCAGGCTTCGGTAGGATACGGGTGACTGCTCTCTTTGTATCGTAGCTTGAACTTGGTTCATGGTTGTTTTCAAAGACTCGATCGGAAGCTGTCTCTCAGGCGACAGAGACTGGCCTCTGGGAGTGAGGTGATGGTGGTAGTGCGGGTGATGGCCGTCTTCACTTGCAAAGAAAGGTGTGGGTGGTCTATCCTCTGAACCTACTTCAGGGGAAGAGGGAAGAGCGAGGAAAGGGGAGGACGTTGGAGAATTGAGAGGGGAGGGAGAGGCCGAAGACCCTGGTGATGAGCACGGGGATGGAGAGAGGGAAAGGGGGAAGAATCTCCGGGGGTTCACGGGAAGTAGACCGGCTTCGTTTTGCTGATTCTTTTGTTCTTTCTCCTCCTCTGTAAAGAAAGGCGTGGACTCGCGGGGGCCACGGACGCTGAGGAAGTCTGCGCCAGGCAGCTGTAAAGTGTGACCTTGACCTACGCTGGTGACCTTTTTATCAAACATTGGGATTGGCGTCGGCTCTCGGTGAAACTCGGAGCTACCGTCTCCTGAGGATGTCGCACCTGGAACGTTGAGAGACGGCGGTTTGACGTTCTCAGACGCAGCGGTCGAAGTGCCTTTGAAGAAAGGTGTGGGTTCCCTCTCATTTCTGTCGCCGGTGACGTCAGCTGATAAAGTAAACTGTGGAATCGTCTGCTTCTGTTGACCAGGCGATATATTCAAGGTCGGACTTCTCATCCCGCTGTCCCTGAAAAATGGCGTGGGTTCTCGGTCTTCTCTGTTGGGTTCTGCCACAGAAAGAGCTGGTGGCACGCCCCCGGACTTATTGACGTCATTAGCATTTGCTGCCTCCTTGTCATCTTCCCACATCTCAACAACGATAGGAGGAGTTGCTTCCCCCTTAGCGCAAGGAGTGATGACGTTTACGCATTTGACAGTCATCTTTCCCCGCTGTATATCACTTCCTCGTCCTTTTCTCTGAGCTCCTTCTTCTTTAGGTGGGATCTCCGCCTCTTGTTCATCTTCCCCTGTTTCGACATTGTTCACGGCTTCAGTCGTAAGAGACTTGTTTTCTTTAACAGACGTAGATGACGGAATATTTTTATTTTCTTCCGTTCCTAACGTAGTTGTTTGGGGGTTAAGATTTTCGTCCAAAATAGCATGGCTTTGTCTTTTCAGGCCTTTAGCAGCTTGGGGATTACCCGTCATTGATTCCGTCCCAGAGTTGTTTGTTCTCCCTTGTTTGTTTTCAACATCCGAGCTATTTTCTGCTCGTGGACGATTCAAATCGAGTGAATTCTTGTTGCAAACAGCAAGGTCAGCAGCTGGTGGCGTGGGGCCATCCAGGTCTTCTGCTTCTAAACTGTGGTCTAAATAGAAAAGGGGCCTTTTAGACGGTGGGCCTTGTTCTTCTTCTTCTTCTTCTCCTTCTTCGTTCTCATCATCATCATCTGAGCTTTCCTCTTCACTGGTGTAGTCCAGACCTTCGCTATCCATACTACCCGTGGAATCTGCAAAAGAGTTGAAGCACGATGTAGTGAGCCTTTCCTTTAAAGGAAGAATCTTGGACTAATGTCATCGAATTCAATTCCAAAATTACGTTTACTTTTTAGACTCGTTTGGCTGCTGTAAACAATAAATATTATGTCGTGTATTGTTATTCTCACCGAGTGAACGAATTTGAGAAGAGTAAGTTTAGATCATTAACATGGTCATATTAATTTTAATTATAAACTTAATAAGTTGCTTTAATTTTGTATACATTACAAAGTAAACATTACATCCCTTCAAACTGTTTATATATATAACTAATTTTGTATCAGGATAACTATTCATCTGTACATTCATGCTAGCATTAATATTCCCATGCAGTCCTTAACATCTTTTCGTTATTTGGTTAACAATAAACATGAGGATTTGAAGCTATGGATACAACAATGACATGCTTAGGCAAATAACCATGCAGAACATAAATATAATATAATTGCATGCATGCTTCGAATAACTACAGAATGCTTCAAATTGAATGTTGTTGTTGTTGCTGTTGTTGTTGTTGTTGTTGTTGTTGCTGCTGTTGTTGTTGTTGTTGTTGTTGCTGTTTTGTCGTTGTTGTTTTGTCGTGTTTTTTTGTAGTTATATTGTTCCAGCCTTTAGGTTTGGGCCCTTCGACCCGATTCAATCTTTTTTTTTCCCCTGTATTCCTAAATTGACAGGGATCTTTTTTCAAACACATGTATTTCTTAGTTGTAACAAAGCCAGAGAAGTGAGCGGAGCCGTTACGAACACACCCATTTTGCGTTGAAGTTGAACCAACAGTGTGACTGTCTAAGTAGTATAATCATTGTTAGAAGCTGCAGAGCCAAATCAAGTGAAGCAGTCCGTGACTGTGAAGTTAATTTGACATAAATGATACTCTCCATTGTTCATGCAATCGCTAGATTGACAAAGCCTTGTGCTATCGTGTCCGATTTGGTAGGCTACATTAAAAAGTCTTTGAATAATATTCTAACATTTATTATTTTTATTTTTATTGTTATAATTATTATTGTTGTTATTATTATTATTATTATTATTATTATTATTATTATTATTATTATTATTATTATTATTATTATTTAATAATAGTAATAATAATAAACAATAATAATTATAATAATAGTTGTAAAGCGCGTAGAGTGTGCCGTAGAGCATGGATATGTGTGCTTTTTATATAAATGCAATTATTATCATTATTATCATTAGCCAGTTTTGAAATAATATTATATTTGTATACATGGCAGTGATTCTTTTCTTTTGGATCTATTCATAAAAATATTATTATAGAGGAGTGCGTGCTTTGTAAAGGTGTTCAGTTCTTACACCAAGACTAGACAACCTGTGCACCAAAAGTTGTGGATTATGAATATTCATTGTAAACCTACAATAAATGTTTGAACCTTATGTTAGCCAAGCTGGTCCGGTGAAGTGTTCGGTGCTTTTACAATGTGTGACAGATTACTCGATAAACAAACATAATACAAATGTATTCATGGTGGCAATCACTGGTTTGAGGGACCATGGTCACAATGTTCCAGTCAGGGTACAATATTTCCTAATCGTTGCTATGCTGTCTAGAACCTTTTGTTTGTTCATAACCTACTCTGTTGAATACGAACTTTAATTCACAGAATGAGCTTTCAGAAACAACAAGTACACCAAACCAACAAACAAACAAACATACAAACAAACAAGCAGACAACAGACTGTAGCTTAAAGCGTGGTGCTGAATCGTGGATGAAAGCGGTGAGCTTTAGAGCAAGGTTGGTTTTTGTTTTTGTCTTTGTTTTTGTTTTTGTCTCAGAAATTTTGGAAACACATTAGAATAGTAATATATATCAAAGTAAGCAAGTTCAAACTTTACGTCAACAAGCCCATAGACGTGAATTACAATATCTTAGACCGAGCAATGTCATGGTCGCAGCTGTAGGTTTTTTTTTTTGTTTGTTTGTTTGTTGTTGTTTTTATAATAAAAAGTGCACTTAACACCAGACTTATGGCTTATGGGCATGCAAATTAGAGCAAAACATCAATCTCTCTATAGTCGAATTCATAATAATTGTGATTGTGCAACATGTTCTTCCTATCACTTCATCTTGGTTTCAAATAGAGTAAAATGGTGCACTCCTTGATGATGCCGAATGACGCTAGAGTGCGCAGTCTAGTATATCATAATATTACAAGTGTATGGTCGAGCCTGCTTGCGAAGCAAAAACCACAACAATGCAACGTTAATACTGAAGACAAAACCTTTGCAAAATGAAAGATTAGAATCACAAAACGACTTTGTAAAACCATGTCACACGGTGGAACGTACACAAGGCGTATTGAGTGAGGTGCTGTTTGTAATTCTCCCCTAAATTTCTCTAGGTGCGAAAAGTTGTCAAGCGAAGGCTTCAGTCCCATCTGTGGAGAGGCATACTTTGGTCTTTTATAGACAGTTTTTGTTTTGCGTGGTCTTTTCGTTTGTTCTTTTTCGCTCTCGTACTCTCTTCCAGCTCTCCAGCAAACGACACATCTCTCTTCCTCTCTCAACGATACAGCTTGTGGTGGTAGGATCGAGTTCAGAATCATGTCTTTATCTATAAATTGTGGTTTTAAATGTACAGTGTTTTGTTTTTTGTTGTTGTTTGGTGTGGGGTTTTTCTTATGATATGATTTCATAAAATTAGCATGAAGCAGGTCCCTGTCACTGTCAGTCTCGGTATCACACAGCACAAGCTTACTCCTTCTTAGAAAACCCTGAAAAGAACAGAAATAAAAGTCATGTATAGTTTGTTCATAATTGAAAGCAAAAGACATAAAATAAATCATTTATAACATTGAGTCATTCTACAAGTTAATATAGAAACGTAATTTATAGAATATAATATAAATTATGAGATAACTGTCGTCTGTGTTGTATCGGTTAGGCGCTTACTGAAGCAAGCAGGAGACGTAGGTTTGATTCCCAAGTGGGCAGATAATTCTTATTGAGTATCTGCAGAGGTGTTGTGTTCCTCTCAAACCGGGTTGGTCGTAACAGGCAGGACCGAAGCCCGCCTCCTAAATGATCTAAATCTGTCGATGGGGAGAGTATTGTGGAGTTCTTCATCCCCATCCCCTCCCCTCCCCCTCCCCTCCCCCTCCCCTCCCATCCCCTTCTACACGCGTAGACACAAGCACACGCGCACGCGCACCGGCTCACGCACCCGCACCCACCCACCCATCCACCCACCCACCAACCCCCCCCCCCTCACACACACACACACACACACACACACACACACACACACACACACATTTGTATGCAAATATGTATCTTCCCAGTGATCCGTTGAAATCAAATGACACAGCTACGGCCATCCAAAAGATTACAGTTGTTAATCTCTCATTCGTCGATTAGGCTAGGTTCGAATCCCAAACATTTAACCCTTTCTTCCTGGTTCTCTTCTGGACCTAACAACGTAGTGTGGCAAAGCAGGTCAGCTGTCTCTGATTAATGGAATCATACACTTGTTTACGTCTCCTAGTTAGTTTTAGTAAGGTATTACGACGCTCGCAACTGCATAAGGTCATATGAGCGCCAAGGGGTGGATGTCAACAGAGAAGTCCTTACTGGGAATCAAGCTTACTCTGCTCACCTCTCTAGCCTCAACAGAACAAAAGTCTACTTCGACTATCAAGGCACCCCGGAAATAGCAGTTCACAAGAGAGTGACAAACATACAAAAGAAGTAGAGGAAAAATAACGATAGTAGTGATGAGGAAAGAAAAAGCAGTAGTTCCTCCTGCTATGTTGTTCCGGCACAGTATGAGCATGACATTGATAAATCACCCCATTTACATTTATACTGTTTTTAAGAACACGTTAACATCTCCCCTTTGGGAATGGCCTGAAGACAACTTCAGTCAGTAACACTGCCCTTAGGGGGGGGGGGGGTACGTCTCCATTTTCACAATTTAGAATCTCAGTGAGGAGAGGACTGCTTCAGCAAACCAAAAAAAAAAAGATGGAAATACTTGATAAAATCAATTTTCTCTCCGTGGAATCGAACTCGTGTTTCCTGCGTGCAACCAAAGATCGCACATAACAAGATTGTTCACTGAGCCAAAAAAGTGTCCTCGAAAGTCCGCACATTGCTTCAGATGGCGCTGCAGTCTTTGTTTTGAAGATATCTATCGTTTCTCCAGAAGAAGAATAGGAATAGTATAGTTTGTGGGTTTCTCTTTTATTGTCTTTTTTCACACAAGTAAGGTAACTCTGTTCGATAAGTTTGCGCTTTTTCGAAGAGGGCGCCACCAAATTTTGAAGACGCTTTTGTAATTGACTCGAAGAGAGGAGTCTTGTTATACACGATCTTTGGTGCAACACCAAAAAAGCCAAACCACTAGTTTGACAATGAACTGGACTTTTTTTTCCAATGTTGAATAAATTAATCCTATCCCATCCCATCCCATCCCATCCCATCCCATCCCATCCTATCCTATCACATCACAGTCCGTTTCATCACATCTAACAGCTTCTGTGGTATGGTGTTTAAGTGCTTCGTCGTCAAACGTAGAAGACACGAGTTTCATTCCCGTGTAGGGAGATTGTTTTTATCGAGTATCTCGGTCTTTCGGGCTGTATTTCTCTTGGCCCAGATTATTCCTAACAGACAGGGATGGTTGTAGGTGGTTGGCAGGTGCTCTGGTGTGATTTGCTCCTTCTTTCCTATCAAACATCTATCGTCCTTATCTCTGCTCCTTCTTTTTTGTGTTTGTTACTCTCTTGTAACACCTAGCTCTAATCTTGCGGCAATTATAATACCGCATTGTGTTGCAAGTGCCGTGAAACACTTACCAAAAATGTATTTTTAAAAGACAGGGAGGAAATCCGACTCATCAATATTCTAAATTGTGTCAACGAGGTTGTAAAAACACTTGTATTCTTCTTCAACCTACCTTCCCCCCCCATTTCCCTACCAATAAAGCCACTTCCAAACAAAGTCTAC